TAGATGGGAGCAGTCGTCAAGCAGCAGCTCCGTGTCTGGGTCGTCCTCCGCCATAGGAACGGTGAAGGCCGCGAGGTGGGACCGGCGAAACCGCCGCAGGAGGTTGATGTGGAAAACCCGATATCGCTTCGTGCGGTGGGGTCCCATGTCAATCTTATAATTGACCTTGTCGACCTTACGCTGAACAGGGTAAGGGCCTTGCCACACGGCTTCCATTTTTGCGAGCCGAAGCCGGAAGCAAGAGCAGTACCTCGTCTCCCGGAGCAAATGTGCGTTCCCGACTCAGGCGGTCATAGTAGGCTTTCTGCAGTTGCTGCGCGGTGGCAAGGTGGGAGCCAGCCTCAGTCGATATGCGTTCAAGCCAGTCCCGCATCGTGAGGACGAACTGGGCAGTAGTAGTCCGAAGCTCCTCTGCCGGCTGAGCCCAAGCATCGTGCCCGAGATCCAGTGGGCCGCAGACATGGCGGCCATACAATAGCTCAAAGGGTGAGAAACCAGTGCTGGCTTGAGGCACTTCTCTATACGCAAATAAAGGATATGGGAGCACCTCGTCCCAACTTCGGGGTGCATTAGCAGCAAAGCGACGAAGCATACTCTTGAGGGTACCATTGAACCGTTCAACGAGGCCACTAGCCTGTTGATGGTACGGAGTGGATGTGGTGAGCTGGATACAAAGTAAAGCAGCAACTTGCCGGAGGACGTCCGATGTAAAGTTGGAGCCTTGGTCAGAGAGGATTTTGTCGGGCAGTCTTACTCTGGAAAAGATGGAGATCAACGCATGAGCCACGGTAGTCGACTCAATATTGGAAAGAGCGACTGCCTCCGGATAGCGGGTTGAATAATCCACCAAGGTGAGGATGTACTTCTTGGCGGACTGCGTACGAAGCAACGGGCCGATAATATCGATAGCTACAACCCGGAAGGGCTCGCCAATAGCAGGAAGAGGAATAAGTGGTGCCCGCTCGTGACGCAGAACACGGGCGGTACGCTGACATGGTTCACAGGCGGAACAATGCTGCGCGACATCTTGAAGAATCGTCGGCCACCAGAAAGGGAGAAGAATCCTCTGGGACCTCTTCGCCTGTCCCATGTGGCCAGCCATGGGGACGGTGTGGCCGAGGTGCAGAATGGTGGATCTCCGTTCCGTGGGCAGAACCAACTGATGGCGGTGGTAGGGGCTGGTGGTATCCATCCCGGCTTCACCATCCAGTGAGTATTCTCAGTAGAGGAGGCTGTGGTGAACACAGAAGGTACTGCCATTGACGGGCGTCTTGTGTCGGCCAGTAGCATAGTAGCAACATGGGCTAAGAGATGGGTCACGCCGTAGCTCGTCGGCGAAACGGGTGGCATCTGGCAAATCGGGTGCAGAGAGAGGCGGCGGTGTCACCTCCGGTGTGCTAGATTGGTCCGCCGGCGGTGCACGCAAAGAAGCTGCATTCGAGGCCAAATCCTCAAACAGTTCATCCTCGAACGGGAAGATGTCGTGCAAACCAGCAGCACCAGTCGACTCAGGTGAAGCCTTGGCCTGTGCATGCGTAGAGACCAAGACGTCCGTGGCGGCTGGCTGACACAGCCGGACCAACTCATGTATATGGGGCACATCATAGCCAAGCAACACGTGACGGGGCAGGTTCTCGGACACTGCTGCCTTGACGTAGTACACCATGCCGTCGATGGTGGAGGTCAGATCGGCCATGGGGTAACTGGCCACATCACCGTGGGAACAACGAATGGAGGTAGTCTCACCAGACAAATCCTGGTCCCGGACCAAGGTCCTGTGTACCATGGTGCGGCCACGCGCGGTATCAACAACAATGCTCGGGACGTGGGTACCATTCACGTACCCAGCGATGGTGTACTCGGGTGCTGGTCCCATGGCGGCGCTGGGATTAGCGGATGGCAACCGACCAGATTCTACAGGTGGAGGGGGTGAGCAGAAATATGCTTCACCCAGCAGATCATCCTCATCCGGCAGCAAATGAACTGTACTAGCGTCTTGGACTTCCTGATCTGGGCTGGAAAACAGAGCGGTGCGAGTGTGATTCGCACACTTAATAGCAATATGTCCCAGCTCACGACAATTATAGCAATGCGGCTGCGACATGGGGCGTCTCAGTGGTGGTGTGGGACGGTCAGGACGAGAAGTCACTGGGCAGTCAGATGACAAGTGGGTCTGACTGGGGTTATCTGGGGAAGATACTGGCCGGTCCCGCGCAGAGCCTGAGGTCGGTGCAGACCAGCGAACTCGAGCAAGGTTGGATGACTCGGACGTCCGGTCTCGGGGTGACGCAAATGTCCCCTGCACCTGGGCACATGTATCAGTGTTCGGCAATGGTGCTCGTCGCTTAGAACAATCCATGGCCATGTGGCCACGCTGCTGGCAAATGTGGCAGACAAGAGACTGTTCCCTGACGCTGCTGAGACGACCACTGCTGGGCTCCTTTACGCGGTCCGTGCGTCAAGATAATCCTGCGGTAGCGAAGCAGCCTGGGCGAGGGACGACGGTTTGCGTTCCCGCAGCCAAGTGCGTAAACCAAAAGGCAGCGCAGACAAGAACTGTTCCAGTAGGATCAACTCACATATGGCTTCCCGCGAGGATGCGGGGCTCAGCCATAGACTGCCAGTGTCATGGACGCGGATGGCGAAGTCAATCATGCACTCCGAGTTCTGCACCGTAGTGCCCCGAAATTTACGGCGGCTTGTTTCGGCGGTAACTGCATAGCGATGGCCTCCTTCACGCGGTCGTAGCTGTCAGCCTCGGTGGAGGCAAGTTCCGTGTATGCCAACAAGGCCTTGTCAGTCAGCTGGGGGCTTAGCAAATAGACCCAATCGTCCGGAGGAACTCTGTACGCCCGCATTGATCGTTCAAAACTGGTGAGGAATGCCTCAACATCGTCCCCAGGGCGCAGTTTAGCCAGTGACACCTTCTGAGAGAATCGCCGTGTGGCCTGAGTGAGTTGCACTTGCGCCATTTGCGTAACCAACTGCATGAGCATCGACAGCTGGGACGGCGAGTTGACATCGACACTATCGACATCGGTGGCGGAACGCTGTTCGTGTTCAGCCTCAGCCTCAGGGTTCTCAGCAGCAGGATCGATGTGCACATGCATGTGCTGGGCATGCGGACCTGTGGGTGTACATGCACATGCTGGGGATGCGGACCTGCGGGTGTACGTGCACATGCTTGGCATGCGGACCTGCGGGTGTACGTGTACTGCTGGGCATGAGGACCTGCGGGTGTACGTGTACTGCTGGGCATGCGGACCTGCGGGTGTACGTGTGCGACTAGTGCTAGTGTTGGCCTGCGCGTGGGCGTGATCAATCAGTTTGTGCGTACTAGTACTACCAGTATCTCCACACACGGGATCCTCACGAAAAGCGACATGTAGGGGCTGACGGTGGACGTGGACCGCTTTTGGCTCCGGAGTAGAGCATGCAACCTTAGTATGGCTATGTGTACGCCCAGTACGAGTACGACGTGTAGCTGAAGCCAGTGCAGGTGCGTCATGCGTATGGTAAGCACTAGGACTAGGAGTAGGACCCTAATTGGCCTGAAACTGCGACTGGTTCATTGCAAAGGACTGCTCACTGTTGTAATCTAATTTGTTGCTCACAATACTGTTGCCGAAATAAGGATTATCACTTACGCTCGGCAAGCGAGGTTTCGGAGACCGTGCGGGACGAAACAAATCCATCGGTGGAGAAGGGAGGGTCGACCTGGGAGCAGCATGAGGTAAGCCAGTGAGCTCGTCATCATCCGGGGCCACCTCCTCGAACTCAGTGTCGATCTCCCGATCCATCCGCGCACTGCTGAGCGATACGGAGAGGATCTGCCGCACAAGATAAGAGCGTGCACCACCGGTGGGGAGATGCAGCCCCGGCAGATGTCCCTCAACTGTTCGTGGCGAGCAAACGCCAACGACTCAAGATACATGGCTAGCTGACTTGCGGCCCCACAAACTCGAAAAAACGAAAAACTAGAAATAAAAAATACGCAAACTTTCAGCACGGACGGAGGTACGCAGTACTGACACACAGTGACTGGGCCACTTCTGACACCATGTGATGGAGAGGACAAACCAACAACTCACTCTCGTTCGGCTAACCGACAACTAACCCTGAAGGGCTGTCATCCTTGTTATTTTTATCTTGGTGTGCGAAACTATATAGTTGTACAATATGTGAGTACTAGAAAAGGTACCGGTAGTACGGGAAGTAGTACGCAGCATGCAATGTTAATGTCATATATGGACAGGTGTAAATATGAGGATGGGAAGGTTATAGTTATATGTAAAGGGATATTCAATGGCACCAAATGATATAGTTACAATATCATCACAGGAAGGCATCCAGGTAACAGCGAAGACGATCAGGGACACGGAGAAGCTCCGTGACATACGACATCGCGTTAATCGACGTGCGACTTGGAATGGTTTCAGCGGTGATGAGTCGAGCGATGGCGACCCAGACTGAGACTCTACTCCAACTACTTGATCCTGTAGATATTGTAGACATGTCGATTGAATGTGTTGAAGTGTTTCTCTTCCAAAAGAACACTTTTGTTGAGCTCAGTAACTCCTTGAAAAGTAATGGCAAAAAGTCACGAAGTTTTTCTTTCCGGAGGAAGTAGTAGGGTATCCCTTTTTTTCTCCTGAGAACCCGATCGGGTGGTTGGAGTACAGTGTTTTTCCAACGATGCATGTAAATAGCATGGCTATATGTACATGCTGCTGTACAATTTCTATGTAGCACAAGTGCACACTCACAGTACAAACTGTGTCCAAAATACCCGATAGGGCACCCGCGTTACCCGGATAAAATACCCGGACCCGTTATCCAATAAAACCCCTACCCGTGGCAGCCCTAAACTAATGCACCGCAAAAAAAGTCGTTGAAATTAATTGCAAGTTGTACATAGTTTGGGAGGTGAAAATTGCTTTGGTGCGACACTGGCAAAGCATCATTCATTTGAGGGGAGGGAGGAGACACTTGTGACTTACCATGATTGTCATGGGAATTCCCTCAAACGGATCGTAAAAGTATGACTTCGGCACTTGTTCCAAGAGATCCGGTCTAGTCACAGGTTCAGTTGGAGTGCCGATATTCACGGTTTGTCGGACTTGTTCCACATTGTCATCTTCACATGCTCTCACCAGATCTGGATGAGGTGCATTGGTTGAGTAGTAGTGAGCACTGTACTTTGCCATCTTTGGTGGTCGATACTCGTCCTCACTCTCCTCTTCAGACGCTGCTTTGAATGGTACAATACAAACACAAGCACATGGAAAACATGGTCTATTCTCTCAAAGGATAAGATTGCATGGTGTGTAGGTAAATACTGGGATTGCATGGTGTATAGGTAAATACTGGGATTGCATGGTGTGTAGGTAAATACTGGGATTGCATGGTGTATAGGTAAATACTGGGATTGCATGGTGTGTAGGTAAATACTGGGATTGCATGGTATGCAGGTAAATACTGGGATTGCATGGTGTGTAGGTAAATACTGAGATTGCATGATGTGTAGGTAAATACTGGGATTACATGGTGTACTCACTCTCCTCTTCAGATGTTGTTTCGAATGCTACAGTACAAACATAAGCACATGGAAAGCAATGTCTACTTGTACATGGTAAGATTGCATGGTGTGTAGGTAAATACTGGGATTGCATGGTGTGTAGGTAAATACTGGGATTGCATGGTGTATAGGTAAATACTGGGATAGCATGGTGTATAGGTAAATACTGGGATTGCATGGTGTATAGGTAAATACTGGGATTGCATGGTGTATAGGTAAATATGGGATTGCATGGTGTGTAGGTAAATACTGGGATTGCATGGTGTATAGGTAAATACTGGGATTGCATGGTGTGTAGGTAAATACCGGGATTGCATGGTGTATAGGTAAATACTGTGGTTGCATGGTGTGTAGGTAAATAATTGGATTGCATGGTGTGTAGTTAAATACTGGGATTGCATGGTGAGTAGGTAAATACTGGGATTGCATGGTGTGTAGGTAAATACTGGGATTGCATGGTGTATAGGTAAATACTGGGATTGCATGGTGTATAGGTAAATACTGGGATTGCATTGAGTGTAGGTAAACACTGGGATTGCATGGTGTGTAGGTAAATACTGGGATTGCATGGTGTATAGGTAAATACTGGGATTGCATGGTGTGTAGGTAAATACTGGGATTGCATGGTGTATAGGTAAATACTGGGATTGCATGGTGTGTAGGTAAATACTGGGATTGCATGGTATGCAGGTAAATACTGGGATTGCATGGTGTATAGGTAAATACTGGGATTGCATGGTGTATAGGTAAATACTGGGATTGCATCTTCCTTCTTTTCACGGTTCGCGTGAGACTCGGCCAAAGGCCCAGTTTTCCGCATCCGCAGGAACGCCACCACCCTCTTGGATCAAGGCGCAGATGCAGCTCCTAAACGGTGGGAGGTGAGTAGATGGGATTGCATGGTGTATAGTAAATACTGGGATTACATGGTGTACTCACTCTCCTCTTCAGATGTTGTTTCGAATGCTACAGTACAAACATAAGCACATGGAAAGCAATGTCTACTTGTACATGGTAAGATCACATGGTGTGTAGGTAAATACTGGGATTGCATGGTGTGTAGGTAAATAATGGGATTGCATGGTGTGTAGGCTAATACTGGGATTGCATGGTGTGTAGATAAATACTGGGATTGCATGGTGTATAGGTAAATACTGGGATTGCATGGTGTGTAGGTAAATACTGGGATTGCATGGTGTGTAGGTAAATAATGGGATTGCATGGTGTGTAGGCTAATACTGGGATTGCATGGTGTGTAGGTAAATACTGGGATTGCATGGTGTATAGGTAAATACTGGGATTGCATGGTGTATAGGTAAGTACTGGGATTGCATGGTGTGTAGGTAAATACTGGAATTGCATAGTGTGTAGGTAAATACTGGGATTGCATGGTGTATAGGTAAATACTGGGATTACATGGTGTGTAGGTAAATACTGGGATTGCATGGTGTATAGGTAAATACTGGGATTGCATGGTGTGTAGGCAAATACTGGGATTGCATGGTGTATAGGTAAATACTGGGATTGCATGGTGTGTAGGTAAATACTGGGATTGCATGGTGTATAGGTAAATACTGGGATTGCATGGTGTACAGGTAAATACTGGGATTGCATGGTGTGTAGGTAAATACTGGGATTGCATGGTGTATAGGTAAATATAGGGATTGCATGGTGTGAAGGCAAATACTAGGATTGCATGGTGTAGGTAAATACTGGGATTGCGTGGTGTATAGGTTAATACTGGGATTGCATGGTGTGTAGGTAAATACTGGGATTGCATGGCGTATAGGTAAGTACTGGTATTGCATGGTGTGTAGGCAAATACTGAGATTGCATGGTGTATAGGTAAATACTGGGATTGCATGGTGTATAGGTAAATACTGGGATTGCATGGTGTGTAGGCAAATACTGGGATTGCATGGTGTATAGGTAAATACTGGGATTGCATGGTGTGTAGGTAAATACTGGGATTGCATGGTGTGTAGGTAAATACTGGGACAGGTAATGCAGCATCTTTTTCTGCTAAACATGTATCTGTCAACATGGCATCTTTGAAAACAAATGAATCACTTGCTGGCGAAGTCACCATCTGTTGCACCTAGGTCGAAAGGTTGGACTGATCTACATCAAAGCCAGCCAGCCTCTAATAGTGTTAAAGCAGTGATGATATAGAACTGTAAAGTGTGTTTAGCACTGGCAGACCTAGATAACTGCTTTCTGGTACACAAACTTGACTAGGGGTAGGTTTTACTACCTCCGCTAAGCAAAACTTCGTTGCGTTTTTAGTGTTCTTGTCATGATATTTCTGTCGGTATTAGACATACATGTCAGTGATCTATCCCCTGCGTAGGGTAGCCGAGTTGTCGTCCATTGTTCTGACAGGCTTTTGAACTTTCAAAAAGCGTGGAGTCCTTTGAAAAAATCAGCGAAGCATAACCGTTTCTCGACAGGATGTCACCAGAATACAACCCCAGGCGTGCGCGCATGACACCAAAGTGCGAAAGTGAGAAACATTTTAAAAGACCGCTGGCTCGAAAAAGTATCCAGGAGCCGGCCAGCGCTCAGGCACTGCCGTACTAGCACGAGTCGATGGTGCGCATCCGCACACAACCAAAATCAATGCACTATTGTTTGCAGCGCAGGGGAAATCAAATATGTTCGACATTGATGTTGTCAAGCAGTCGGCGCAAAATCCTGATCTCAAAGTCGACGACTTGGCGTTCTTCCAGAGCCTGCTGCTTTTTTTCACTTTGCAAAGCGTGTTCGTAGCCATAGAATGATTTGGACTGAACTGTAAAAACGCAACGAAGTTTTGCTTAACGGAGGAAGTAGTAAGTCTGTCATGTGCACTGCACAACATAATACCACTACATGCAAGCAAAATAGTGAGCAGTGGATAGCAAGCATTGTGTTGTTATGCACATGCTTACTTAGTGCATCACACATACTCACACACCTTGGCACTTGCAAACACGCAGGCTGTTCTAGAACTACCTAGTGATGTTAGTTGTAATGACATTCCCCAAACTGTCTTTGTCTAGGCAAGTGTGCATGTGGATGTATGATGTTGTAGTCAGGAGTCATTTTGCCAGGTGTCTTGTTTATCTCTTTGACAGGGTACTGCTGCTAGGGCTCTAGCAACAAGGCGAAACGGTCGCAGACTAGCGCAGTGCAATGGCGAACCACTCTCATGCAATGTTATGTGCTTAATCTTTCACAATCCAGAAGATCTACTCTTGGCTTGGTCGCTAGTGCTAGTTTTCCAATATGGTGGACCATGTTGTTTCATCTCCTTAACCATCTCCGATCTCCTGTCTTCTCATTTTCTCAGAGTCGGTGATGATTTTTCTGGATTTGCAGATATTGATGCGCCGGATTGCGGCACAGGCCAACCTGTGTGTCTGTGGGTCTTCGGCTATCGACAACATAGTCAAAAAGCTCTTGTCTCAGGATGCAGCCACTCGTAGCAAATAAATTCTCAGTCGGATGAAGCTCGGTAGATCTATCGAAGACGGCTTCTCAAATAAGTGTTAGGTACCTCCTCCCGTACCTTTTCTAGCTGGCCTGCATGCACTTACGTACTCACCTTTTGTCTCCTTTTGTTCCGTTGGCCTGGGTAGCTACTTGCGCGCCCATATTTGCCATAGCTACCCAGGCCCTTTATCTTGCCGTTCAGACTTGATCTCTCGCTCTCTCTGTTCTCACTCTTCAATGTAGTCGTTTCGTTCGTCTTGGTCTCTTGTCTCGTCGTCTACTAGTATAATAAATGTCGTTCCCACTAACCTGTTCCCGTTGTAATGTCTGGATATGTCGTCAGTCGTCCTGTTTCGAACTCAACATTGGCCCCGATTATTGAGGGACCCACGACCCTGAGATCATCCCATGCCCAGCCGTCCTCAACCGCCATTTGTCTCGTCTATGTCAAATTGTCAACCTCGTCTCGTCCATGTCAGTCTCATCTCTCCTACACCAACCTCGTCTCGTCTCTATCAACCTCGTCTCTCCTACGCCAACCTCGTCTCGTCGTGTCGTTCAAGCCATGCAGCTCAGGTCAGCTACCTTTCTCTCTTTCTTTTTTTTTGTATGCGTTCCTTCTTCGTCAAATTTATTTTCGTGAATTTTTTTGTAGTGTGTGTGCGCGCGCGTGTGTTCGTAAAACATTACCAAGTTAGGGGTCCGATCATGGTGAGCCACGCTCTAATTTTTGGGTGTTTAGCAAAAGTGTAACTAGGCTGTATTAGCCGTGCAAAATACTAGTAATTCATGTTCCTCGTCAAACTCCAATAGTTATTACACACTATAAGTAGTACAGGAATGATCTGTAGTGCATTTTTAGTAAACACTTTCGTGAGATCCGTGCGCGCGTGCAATATGTGTGTGTGTGTGTGTGTGTGTGTGTGTGTGTGTTTTTCTCCTCCAGTCATTTTTTTAAATCTTTTTCTCTCTTTTTTTCTCTCCGCGAGGACGCGGGATTTTTTTTCATGGAGGGGTGGTATGTTAGGTACCTCCTCCCGTACCTTTTCTAGCTGGCCTGCATGCACTTACGTACTCACCTTTTGTCTCCTTTTGTTCCGTTGGCCTGGGTAGCTACTTGCGCGCCCATATTTGCCATAGCTACCCAGGCCCTTTATCTTGCCGTTCAGACTTGATCTCTCGCTCTCTCTTTTCTCACTCTTCAATGTAGTCGTTTCATTCGTCTTGGTCCCTTGTCTCGTCGTCTACTAGTATAATAAATGTCGTTCCCACTAACCTGTTCCAGTTGTAATGTCTGGATATGTCGTCAGTCGTCCTGTTTCGAACTCAACATAAGCATGAGTGCACTCGTATTTTTTGGAGCGAAAATCATGGAAAACACAAACTTTGCGTGAACATTCGCAGAAATATTCGCAAGCCTAGACGCGAAAATCCATGCGAACGTTTGCTCTGCAGAACCTCTCTACTAAGTTTTTTTTCCACTCCCGAGGCAGTACCTCTTATCCGAGTTCCACTGCCTCTCATATGGAGCCGTACGAATGAATATGTCCGACTTGCTCTAACCGAATGCCAATACAAGCAGTGGACTCTGCAATGACCCTTGAAATCAAGTCGAACAGTTTTGTCCCTCCATAAGCTAAAGCAATCATTTGACTCACCAGTGCCACCAGCAGGTTGTTGTGATTGGCGGCCGGAGCTCTCATCCTTGCTGGACTCTTGCTCCATTGGTAACAATAGCCTTCACCAATGTTGTCACCAAACGGATACCTGAAACACAGCAACAAACACTGGAATAAGCTGCCAGAAGAAATCCGCTGTCTGACATCTGTTGGCCGATTTACTGTTGCTGTGTGTAGACACAAACTGAATCACAAGTATTCTGTGCAAGGTATACCGAAATTTTGCAACTAGCTTCTACTGTTCCTGTTTGCATTATTTCTATTTTTCACTTTATCATGTCCCTTTCTCCCTCTTTCATATCAGCCACCTTCACATTCTTTCCCCAGGAGCCTCCCCTTGATAGGAATCCATTTGGTTCTGGAGAATCCTTGAAAAATAAATAATTAATCAATATATTAAGTAAAAAAGAGAAGAAACACATGAGAACGAGTTATGCAGCAACTATCCACGACTGTAACGAGATGATAAACGGTCAGAAAGTTGGATAATAGGGCACAACACTGACAGGCTACTGAGACATTCAGCGACCCGAGACCTAGCTCCAACACATCTCCAGTGTGCAAACCAACAGCCTTCCAACTTGGAAGGTTCATGGTTACGTAGGACCGAAGAGGGGAAGGTGAGCGCAGCGAAAATGTGCACAAGCTACGTCCCGCGGCAACAAAGAATGCCGACTGTTACAGGACGATGATGAGACCAGTTAATAACATGACAAAGCGGTCTGACTACAATTTTAAGAGAGCATGTCTGAGAATACCAAAGTATGTGTGCAAGTGGATCTCTCCGATTTCGCTCAAAATTTGCAGGTAGGTTGCCTTTGGGGTGTGGATCGACTGTGCAAAGCCCTTGAAAAAGTTTCTGAAGGGAACCTTGAAATTTGCATACCCCTCAAAAATGGCCGAAATATCACATTATTTATGGGTCTAGAAACGAGTCACGCCACAGCGTATACGAACAAGCTATGAACAAAACTACATCAAGCCAACATTGCCTCACCTTAGAAGAGTTCCTGGAGCAGTACCGCTTAGCCACGCCAGCATCCCAGAAGACGAGGTCCATCACCCCCTGACGCCACAAATGATCGTCTTGAAAATAGCCAATTTACAAGCGCTGGCAAAACAGCCAGCTACGTCCTCAATTGGCCAGAACTATACACCGGCAGATAGTAGAACACCTCTTCTAGCGCTGAGGACATGTCTCCCATCTTCCTTTTGGGGTTTTCTTGAAATAAACATTTTTGAATTTTTCCACTCGACCATGCTGAAATACGGCCAAAGTCATACCTGCGCAGGAAAGCTCGCCCCTCCGCGACGTCTCCTCAGCAATTTCTACTCCAACACTACTCCCAAGGCCGCAGAACAAAGTATAGTGTTGACTCTGACAAGGAAAAGCAGCGGTGATCACTTGTCACTCCAAACGACAAGCTTCTCCTTGCGCCACCAATAATTTTTTGTGCGACTGTTGATGCAAAAGTGACTGAAGGCCTGAGCGCAGTTTTTGAATTTTATTGCAAGATGCACGGTGAGATCGCGTGCTCTGTGACGTAGGATGACGCTTCCTGCATCACGATACGCGGCCAACGATCGTGAAAGTGCCTGGAACGCTACTCGGAACAGACCATGATGGCAGAGGTAAGATGAGCTTCATTTCCTGCTTGAACTGCTGAGTACCCCAACAAACTGTCCTAGGAGTGTTGCAATGGCAGCAAGCCGTTGAAATATGCCCCGTACAGCATGGAGAGTTATTCGTCTTTCACACTTACCTCCTGCAATCCCGAACATAGTCCAACAGTAAAAGTCCCTTGTTTTCATGTCGATGCTCGACAAAAGCGGCTAGCTCGGTCCCTGTGTTGACTGGCACGCGAGTAGCACTGACTGCACGCACTTGTCGCGTGAACTGCATGAGAGATTTCTTACGTCATAAAGAATGTGATTTCATCATCATTTCACTGGTCTTCGACCTACATGGTCAGGGAAAGTCCCGGTTCGTAGGCCTACAACACTCCCAGCGTGTTCTTGAGCGCAGTAACAACCCAAGTGGGATGACTTCCAGACCAACGGGCGTTCAAGGCGAGTAACAAGCGCACTTGACGAAGGTGACTCTGAAATCTCGTGAGCCGTGGGCCACGCGACTTGGCATTCTTGCGTCACAAGGCACGTGATTTCACCGTGCATCTTGCAATAAAATTCAAAAACTGCGCTCAGGCCTTCAGTCACTTTTGCATCAACAGTCGCACAAAAAATTATTGGTGGCGCAAGGAGAAGCTTGTCGTTTGGAGTGACAAGTGATCACCGCTGCTTTTCCTTGTCAGAGTCAAAACTACACTTTGTTCTGCGGCCTTGGGAGTAGTGTTGGAGTAGAAATTGCTGAGGAGACGTCGCGACAGGGCGAGCTTTCCTGCGCAAGTATGACTTTGGCCGTATTTCAGCATGGTGGAGTGGAAAAATTCAAAAATGTTTATTTCAAGAAAACCCCAAAAGGAAGATGGGGGACATGTCCTCAGCGCTAGAAGAGGTGTTCTACTATCTGCCGGTGTATAGTTCTGGCCAATTGAGGACGTAGCTGGCTGTTTTGCCAGCGCTTGTAAATTGGCTATTTTCAAGACGATCATTTGTGGCGTCAGGGGGTGATGGACCTCGTCTTCTGGGATGCTGGCGTGGCTAAGCGGTACTGCTCCAGGAACTCTTCTAAGGTGAGGCAATGTTGGCTTGATGTAGTTTTGTTCATAGCTTGTTCGTATACGCTGTGGCGTGACTCGTTTCTAGACCCATAAATAATGTGATATTTCGGCCATTTTTGAGGGGTATGCAAATTTCAAGGTTCCCTTCAGAAACTTTTTCAAGGGCTTTGCACAGTCGATCCACACCCCAAAGGCAACCTACCTGCAAATTTTGAGCGAAATCGGAGAGATCCACTTGCACACATACTTTGGTATTCTCAGACATGCTCTCTTAACCCTTTGGAGTCCATGGTTCGATTTCGAACCATGGGCATTTTGTATGCATGTGGGCGCAGTCAAACTTTCGGTTCTCGGCCAAATCTTGACCAAACAATCGAAGGGTCTAGATGGTAGAGAAACGTCCCAGCTATCGCCTCGAACTGATCCGAAGTCTCCGTGATGAAGTTTGAGTGAGCGGCGAGCGATCAAACATTTCGAATTTTCTGCGCTGCGTGCGGCGAGTCACCAGTGCGTGAAAAAAAGGGATTTTCCCAGCTTCGTGACAGGCGGCACGTGCCAGGACCGGCGCGGCGCAAAGTCACGGCAAGGTAAGCTTCTACTCGAAAAAAATTGAACAGTTCCGAGCTAGATTCAGTGAAATGGCTACAGGAGACCGATTTCGTCTCAGATCTGGAGCTGGACTCGCGTTTTGGGCGCGTTGTGGCGGACAGTGAACAGTGCTCTTGGCGAGTTTGGGCTCATTGTATTTCTCTCATCAAGAGCTTTCCAACGAGCCCAAGATCTTCAAAATCGGTGAAGTAGAACCAAAGTTATGTTGGAAATAGAGTGCGCATTTTCGTGACTGCCACAAATTCTGCGGAAGCAAAAAGTTACGGACTCCAAAGGGTTAAGCAGCAAAGCAACATACCACTTAACTTGGGTGGGTCAGCAATATCGAAGATAAACGAAAGGAGAAGCTTTGCGAAAACGAATTGTACAAAACCGGACGCCAATATCTAACGGTACTCCTCATGCATGACACTATTGTGGACGAGTTGACTACAATAACAAGTAGTTCCACACGACGTACGTTTCGCCGTGTTGTTAGTGACAGCTCATCAGGTGTGCAAAATTTAAACTCGGATACTGAGCCAGTAATAAAATGTAAAAAAGAAAAGAAACGCATGAGAATGAGTTATGCGTAACTCGTTCTCATGTGTTTCTTCTCTTTTTTACATTTTATTACTGGCTCAGTATCCGAGTTTAAATATATTATGTAATATCACTACAATCACGTTTACACTGTGGTAAACTACCATGTATAGCCACACCCACACATTACCAACTACCATGTATAGCCACACCCACACATTACCAACTACCATGTATAGCCACACCCACACATTACCAACTACCATGTATAGCCACACCCACACATTACCAACTACCATGTATAGCCACAACCATGCATTACCAACTACCATGTATAGCCACACCCACACATTACCAACTACCATGTATAGCCACACCCACACATTACCAACTACCATGTATTGCAACACCCACACATTACCAACTACCATGTATAGCCACACCCACACATTACCAACTACCATGTATAGCCACACCCACACATTGCCAACTACCATGTATAGCCACACCCACACATTACCAACTACCATGTATAGCCACACCCACACATTACCAACTACCATGTATAGCCACACCCACACATTACCAACTACCATGTATAGCCACACCCACACATTACCAACTACCATGTATAGCCACACCCACACATTACCAACTACCATGTATAGCCACACCCACACATTATCAACTACCATGTATAGCCACACCCACACATTACCAACTACCATGTATAGCCACACCCACACATTACCAACTACCATGTATAGCCACACCCACACATTACCAACTACCATGTATAGCCACACCCACACATTACCAACTACCATGTATAGCCACACCCACACATTACCAACTACCATGTATAGCCACACGCACACATTACCAACTACCATGTATAGCCACACCCACACATTACCAACTACCATGTATAGCCACACCCACACATTACCAACTACCATGTATAGCCACACCCACACATTACCAACTACCATGTATAGCCACACCCACACATTGCCAACTACCACGTATAGCCACACCCACACATTGACAACTACCAACACCTCTACACACTTTTACCTATTCAACTTCGAGAGAGCTTGGAAGTTCAGGGCCCTACGCTATGCTTTTTTTGGTTAGCTCACCATGCATGTTATTAGAACTGACGTAAATGGGGTTTTTTCATTGATTGGCTCCATCAAACTTTCTCTTTGTAGTCGAGGGTAATACTACACCGTCTGCCACCTTCATGATCTAGGGAAAAAAGGCATAGGGATGTTATAAATGTTTCATTTCTCCTATTGTATTTTCAAGACATAACCTAGGATTCGAACACGCACTATCGCCCTGCATGCATTCCCCGATACAATTCGCATACATACTCATTCTTCCAAGTTGCTTCACGTTATGATCTTACATTTCAAAGCCCTATTTGAATATTGTTGCCATGGCCAGCTGTCTTTGATGGTATAGTACAGGACAGGTACGGGATAGCGCCAGGCATGCCGACGGCAGAAACAAACAAACACGGAATTAAAGCTGTGTGGACCCTGGCTAGCCCCAGACGTTACTGAAGTAACGTCTTTTGCATAGATACTAGAATAAAAGAGGGTTTATCAACTGACAACCGCTCTATTTAGTTGCTATTCAGTCTTTAGATGAAAATTCTTTTATTAATGATGTCGAAAAATAATTGACGTTTCGGGCCAGTCACCCATCATCAGAACAATGTACAAGGAGCAAACCTGGCCTTTTATAACAAAAGCAAGCGAGAGCGTACGTAAAACACACCCAATAGACGTATGCAATTGAGTGTCAGAATTTGCATGTACAACCGACAAGGAGAAGTGCGCTGCTTTTGCATGCATACCCACTCTTTCAGCAAATACCCTCTTATTCCCGTAGCTATGCAAAAGACGTTACTTCAGTAACGTATGGCGCTAGCCAGGGTCCACACAGCTTTAACTCCGTGTGTGTTTGTTTGTTTGTGCCATCGGCATGCCTGGTGCTATCCCGTACCTGTCCTGTACCATACCATCAAAGACAGCTGGCCATGGCAACAATATTCAAATAGGGTGCTATCCCATACCTGTCCCGTAACGTACTATCAAGGAGTGTGTTTTTTTGTTTGCGCCGTCGGCATGCTTGGCGCTATCCCGCACCTGTCCCGTACCGTACCATCAATGTGTGTGTGTGTTTGTTTGTTTGTATTGGCGCTATCCCGTACCTGTCCTGTATCGTAACATCAAAGACAGCTGGCCATAATATTCAAACAGGGCTTTCAAATGCAAGATCATAACGTGAAGCAACTTAGAAGAATGAGTATGTATGCGAAGTGTATAAGGGGAAAGCATACAGGGCGATAGTGCGGGTTCGAATCCTAGGTTATGTCTTTATATAGGAGTAATGAAATTTTTTAACATCCCTATGCTTTTTTGCCTAGGTCATCAAGGTGGTAGACGGTGTCGTATTACCCTCGAATGCAAAGAGAAAGTTTATTTATTTCACTCAGGGCCCTGCGCTATGCTTTTTTGCCCAGCTCATCATGAATGTTATTCGAACAGATGGAAACTTTTTGCAATGCAATGATGTAGCCGATCAGTTCGTTGTGGTATGGTTAGGAATTGTAGCCATTAATATGTTTCTGGTTTTAGAGTTTGAATCGGAGCAGCCGTTCTCCAATTCAATTCGAGCCGTCATGGTCGATGTAAAACACTATTAATTTTATATTCACAAGCTCTGGGAGCAAACGTCTCTCTGTCCCATAAGCTGCCACATACCAACTAAATACAATACCATGCAATTCACGCGAGCTGACTTGCACGCGTGGCCCTTTTCACGAACCCAGACAAAGGGATTGGTATATTATAACGCATGTACGGAGTCACTAGATTACACCCGCACCAGAGATGAAGGTGCCAGCGCCAGACATCAATACGGTGTTGTACGGTATAAGGATGTCATATAGCATGTCCTACAACAGTACGATGAAATTGTGGGAGAAACCAGCGACCGCTTGGGAACGATGAACATTACAACAGTCTTATTGTGAGTGATAGTCAGGCCAAGTTTCTGAACATCAGTAGCGAGTGCTATCCCGAGCATTATGATGCATGATGCTGTGCCGGATACCGCCAGCCATGCATCGACCAGGCGCCAGGCGCGAACTGATGGTGGTGGTGGTGAGAAGGAGAGCTCTGTGCCAGAACTTTGCAGCCTAGAGAGCGTGTGTGGGCAGGTGTGTGTTTACCGCCATATTGCCAGGTGTGTCTTTACCACCATATTTATCAACCATAAGTACAGCTGCAGTGATGTCTTCAATTTCATTCTCCCGAGTCAAGCTCCGTATGAAGACATCCAAGAAGAAGATTGCCTGATGAGTCCAGTGGAGTAGTATAGTGCCGTAGGGGTTCTGATCCAAAAGTGACCTTTGACCCCTGGCTGCCAAATAAGGAAGAATAGTCCATATACGGCAGATGACCTTTGACCTTTGAGTTGACCTTTGACCTTTGACCTGCCATATAAGGCAGAATAGTCCATATATGGAAGATGTCATTTGACCTTTGACCTTTGGTGTTGACCTTTGACCTTTCCATATAAGGATGAATAGTCCCTATATGGAAGATGACCTTTGACCTTTGACCTTTCCATGTGACCTTTGCTGTGACCTTTGACCTTTCCAAATACGGCTGATTGGTCCATAGAAGGAATGTGACCTTTGACCTTTGGGATTGGTCTATATATGGGGTGAAGTGTCCTTATAAGGAAGGTGCACGTGGTTCAGGTCATAGAAGGCATGTGCCATAAAGGGGTGAAGTGTCCTTATAGGGAAGGTGTACACGGATGATGTCATAGAAGGCATGTGCCATAAAGGGGTGAAGTGTCCTTATAGGGAAGGTGTACACGGATGATGTCATAGAAGGCATGTGCCATAAAGGGGTGAAGTGTCCTTATAGGGAAGGTGTACACGGATGATGTCCTATAAGGCATATTCCATAGTAGGGTGAAGTGTCCTTATAGGGAAGGTGTACATGCTGTAGTTTTTAAATAAGGCATATTCCATAGTGGGTGGAAGATGCCTTATATGGCATGCGTATCCTGGCCAGGTCATAGTAGGCATGCAGTTGAAACAATCATTGAGGTCCTTTCTGTCTGAGGCTTTGAAGAAAAGAAGCATCATGTAACAAAGCTGGGTTCGTACCCGCAACCTCTCGTACGGAAGGCATGAACTGTACCAAACGACCAGGACGACTACACACAAGACCCAAGGCTCAAATCACCTATTTATACCCGGACCGTAAAGAAGAAGAAAAAACGCATCATGTAACAAAGCTGGATTCGTACCCGCAACCTCTCGTACTGAAAGCACCAACTGTACCAAACCACCACGGACGACTATGCATAAGAGGGAAGGCTCAAATTGACTATATATACTGGGACCGAAGCTCACCAAGGTCTCGCTGGATGAGACATCAGCGACCTATCGACAATGTCATCGAGCATGGAAAGAAGGGTGGGTGGTGGTGGTGGTGGGATCAGCATGACATCCAACAGATGGACAGTCGCCAACAATCACTACCCGGTGAAAGGGAGGTGAAGGCCCCATTTTTGGGGTAAAAAAACCGGGTGCTGTATTTTTATATTTAAAAATCATTTTTCGGGTGTTTGAGGTGGTTGAGGGGATATGACATCATGATTGGACCCCCAATCGTTGTACCTGTTAGTTGCCTCGGATGGGAGTCGGTATATAAAGTAGATACATTGTTGGATAATGTTTCATTATGAAGATGGTGATGATGTGGGGTGAAGATGGATTCTGATTTTGATATCTTACGGGCCTATGTACGTGAAAAGAGACTTCGTGAAGTAGAAGAACAAGCAAGAGAAGAAGAAGAACAACAACAACAACAACAACAACAAGAAGAAGAAGAAGAAGAGCAAGAAGGGGAGGAAAAACAGTGTCATCATCTTAATCATGTTGTTCATGAAGGAAGATACGTATGTTCTTCGTGTGGACTTGTCATGGATGTGGTTTACTTACCTGAAGTTGATGTGCATCAGAGATGTAGTTTGATGAAGAAGCCTTATGCTGCACATGAGCGGTTATGTGGTGTGGATCGTCATCTTTTGCATTTTCTTTCGAAAACTGAACTCTTATCCGATCAGCTTCGTGTACACCCTCTTCGAGAGCAGATAAGTGCGATGAAGAAGTCCTGTTTATACAAGAGTCTAAACTATTCTATAGCATTATCCTGTATAGTATACGATACGAATGTGGATGCATTACGTAAACTACATTCCTACTTACCTCGTAGCAATGTGTCCTGGTTGAGGTTCAGTCGAATCATGAAACCTCTTCCTCAGCATTTTCCACTCCTATACGTACTGCATCTCATGGAGTCGACTAGGATGGTGTCTTCATTGCAACTGTCCACGTTGCGTTCGAATTTGCTGCTTTTATCTCCATCTGATATATCTCTTATGACATCATTGATTGATGCTTATTGCTGGGAAACCTATTCACTTGACCACGTGATCCAGAACATGCACACGTTTGACTGTGATCTTCTTTCTATACTGTATCAGTTCACAAAGGTGGCGGTATCGTGTAAGGAACCTTTAAAATGAGATGAATTTTAGCGTGCACGATGCTGATTGGTCAAATATTTTTGGCGGGCTTAATTGACTGTATACTACTTTCTACTCCAATATCTCATGATAATCATAAAAAAATAAAAATAAAATAAAAAATAAAAAATAAAACTTCTAAAGAACAAGTATGGGTGGTGTTGTGTCGAGTAGTACGTCCACTGAAGAGTGCTGCCTTGCCTCTTCTGACTCTAGTATCCCCACTCCTACTAGTGGAGAATGGGTTGCAGGATGTGAAAAGAATGGAATTGGGAAAGATGAACCAGGGTGATCTCATGTGCACACCCATCAAGGAATACGATTTATTTGAGAAAGAAAATATTTCCTAACCTAATTAGTACAGTGTGTGCGTGTGCGAAGATGGCATACTGGGCTACGCATTTCCATAGGAGTGATGGTGACGAGGCCTCCCTCAAACACATGCAAAGCATGCGGAATGACATTGCCGAGATGCAATCGGTTGTGGGGAACGATGACACCGACAACACCTTGGTTCATGATGTGGAGAAACTGAAAGAGGAGAAAGCCGATGAGAGCAATGTGCAAGATGTGGAAAACAGATCTATGCGCTACACAGATCAAGCCATAGCAGCTGATGAGCTGCACGTTAAAACAGACGGATCCGTGCCCATGGATGCTAACCTCGACATGAACGAGCATTCCATCTGTAATTTGACGTACAACGATAGCTCTTTGACATGTGCTGTCCCTGCCGGTTGGGTGAAGAATGAAATCCGTCAATCATCATCAAGATTGCAACACGACATCGACGCTGTGCGCAAGATGAAAGGTCCTCGTGGTGATCGGGGATTGGGATGGCTTAGCGGAGGTGATATGCCACTGAACTCTGTAGGGAGAAACGGTGACTTCTATGTGGATGCAACCACGCTCATCTTGTACAAGAAATTCAGCTCGGAATGGATGGCTTTCGGTCAGCTTCATAGATCAAGAGGTGAAGCTGGTCCACGTGGAGAACGTGGATTGATCGGTCCTGAAGGTGAGACTGGACCTAGAGGAGCTGATGGACAAGGTGGTGAGCGCGGTCAAAAAGGTGATCAAGGAATACCTGGTCCAGAAGGTCCCAGAGGTAAAGTTGGACCACGTGGAGAACGTGGATTAGTGGGTCCTGAAGGTGAGATTGGACCTAGAGGACAAGATGGGTAAGACGGTTCACAAGGTGAACGTGGTGTCCAAGGTGATCAAGGAACCATAGGCCCCGTCGGTCCCCAAGGAACCATCGGTCCAACCGGTCCTCCAGGAAAAAGAGGTCCCGTGGGCCCCCAAGGAACCAGAGGTCCCGTGGGTCCGCAATCAAGTCAGAACCTATCCGATCCGTTTCATCTACTACCTTACATTCGGAGAAACGCCTACCTCTACATATACTCTCATCCTAGCAGATTTGAATCCGTCATCAGGGTGAGGAGAAACACGTACAGAGGTGGAAATCTCGTTGCCTTGAACGACAAGAGAATCATCGTGAACGGCATCGACATGTTCCGAGACGGTCACTTCTACCTCAACATTTCACAACACGAGCAAGTTTCCATTAGAGAACGATTCGTCAATCTGTTTCACGACAACATGTCTTTTGCAATGTTCCAAGTCATTCAAGTGGACGCACCTGACCCTAGAAACATGGCGTTGAAGGCATTCGACATCGATACTGTCGGAAATTTCACCTTGGATAGTTTGTATGTGTTGTTCACTGCCACCCACATAAGTGGCAACTACTTCACGGGTTCAGGCTCTTCATCATTCAACCTACCCGTTTCGTCTTTAACAAACCAATTATCGGTTGCTTTGGATAAGCCTGTGTCGAGCATGACGGATCTCTTGGGTACAAAGTGTGTCATAAGTTACGCTCGGAATTCAGAAGGCCTATTCACTCTATACGTAAACTCCATTTTGATACATTCCAACTTGGACACGGATCCATTTTCCAGAATCAATGGAATCGAAGATTGCGATTATCGCATTGGTGGTAGTCAATTCTTCAACGGCACTACGTCAAAGTTGTTCTGTCATTTGCACTTTGTCGAGAGTTTATCTTCTCACACAATCCAGGGCATCCACACAGAACTCATGGCACACTACAATATCTGAAAGTATTAAGTACTTCGATTGTACATATAATATATAGCGCACACATGCTACTCTACATTCTTGAGATGAAAATGAAAAATAAAACCTACCTATAGTGATTACCATCACAACATCAGAATGTCTGTGATACTGACGGTGGCGAACAACACGTCGGGGGTGAGCAGGGGATTGCACAAACCGAACTTTACTCTAAATGTGAAGGACCTGGATACGCGCGATAAAGTCCTGCATGTTGAATCGGCTCAGTTTGAAGTACACTTTGAGAACATAGACGAGGCAACGAACAAACTCTATGTGGTACATGGTGAAGAAGAAGAAGAAGAGGAGGATAGACTGTCCATCAAGACGGGAACATACAGCGATGTAGACGATTTGGTGTCTATAATCAATGCCACTCTGAAACGAGCGGGACACGGAGACATTGTGTTTTCCTACTCTCGTCACACCAGCCGCATAAGTGTCTCGGTACCCAGGAAGAAACGGTGCTTGTTGAAGAAGGACTCACCCGGATTGGTGCTGGGTGTGGGCACTATTCTCAAGCCATACACGATCGAGGGATCTCACACGTTCCCGTTCGCTGTGGATCTGACAAAAGACAGACGACTTGTCCTGCTCTACACCGACCTCATTGGACCTGCTGTGGAGTACGAAGACAACACTGATTCGAGGGTGTTGAAGACCTTTCTCATTCAAACCCTCAACGGTTTGAATAACTACGTGTTTGGAAAAGAAGACAAGCGATTGCTGCTTCCACACGAAAACGTGACTAGCATTTCGTTTTGGTTGAAATTCAACACCGGCGAACACATCACTTCGGGATATCCCGTCTACCTTGATCTTCGGATCACCAGCACGACTACTTAGATGGATCTTCCAGATGTTCGTGTCCGCCACGTGCGAGACATGGTGGAGGATATAGCAAAACGCAAGGAATTGGAGAGCGAAAAGGTGCGTTGCCTGGAGAAGTACGTGATTTACAACACCGCAATCTTGTCCTTTCTCATACTCACTCAAACCCTTCTCAATATTCTCCAAGGGAGTGGTGTCGTATCTGGAGAACATCGCATTCGAATCATCGCCATCAGTAGCACGATCATCGGCGTGGTCATGGCATGCATAGGCAAACACGTTCTCGACACCAAACGTCAGCTTGTCACGTGTATCGAACAACTGCAGCAGATGGAGAGAGCTGAAGACGCGTTCATGTTGGAATTGGGCATCACTCTGGAAGATGGGAAGCTCACTAACGAGGAGCATCGACGATTGATAGCGATGATGAACGACTTTCGCAAGACACTGGATATTGGATCGTTGAAAAAAATTCGCCCCTATTATAATGTGACTGGCAAGAATGGCACAGGAAATCTACTCGCCGCAAGCTCCGGAGTCCTTCACGGGACTCCTGACCAACACGAAGATCGTTCAGAAGAACATACTCGACAGGACGGAGAAGAAACTCTCGTTGCTTGAGGGTAGACGCGGAGTACGACTCTTTTCCACAGCAGATCGCTCACCACCATCCCTGAACAATGAACTGGACATCTCGTCACCGAATTTCATTGCTCTCGGGGAGAGCTATTTCATCGTAAAAATGCGCTATAGTGTCAAAAACAATCTCGACAATCAACCTGGAGACTATACGCGATGGGTGTGCACCACGTCACCAGCCTTTTCGTGGTTCAAGAACATTCGAGTGGAGATCAACGGAACAGAGGTCACGCAATCGAGTAAAGTTGCCGACATGCAGATGGTTCAGCATATCCTCAGTCTAATGGAAAGCAGCAGCGAACGTCTTCAGTACGTTGACTCGGATCTCTACGGTCTACAGAAACTGGATCCGCAAAGAGCATTGAGAGGTGTGGATTTATCGCCCTATCAACTTGGTGTGAAGCGTAAGCATGGCTATGCCTTCGAAACAAACGCTGTACACGCTGATGCAGCACGAGCACCGGATTTCGACGCTAATTTCACACCCAAGCGTGCACCCACCGTCGAGCTTGTGACCAACGAAGGCTTCTCCAACACGGTACAGGAAAATGCACTTCGGGCAGCCGTTGGACGGTTTCAATACAAGCTGAGACCCTTCCTACCGTTTTTCAATCAGGACGATGCTTGGTTACCGCCGGGTACACAGATGAAGCTTCGCTTTGATCTACCCCAATCCGAGCTTTCCTGATACATCATGCTTAGCGATCAGGGCGGTGGTGGCAACAGTGCTCTGAGTGTCGGTGATATTAACATCGATCTACTCCAACTGGACTTTGTGTACACTACCTATCGCATGGAACCCAATCTTACCGATCGTGTACGCCTTCCCAAGCAACTCTATTTCCACACGTGGTGCCCTCGTCTCATACAAAAGAGCATTTCAGATGATGCTGGTACACTGGAACTGCTTCACAATGCAGACATACCACGCAGAATGATCCTGTTCTTCACGGATTTGACTCATGGTACACAACCAACATTGGCTGGAGGCCAAGCATCACATTCTTCGAACAGACTGGCCATGATTCATGCAAATCTCAGTCAACTTCGCGTCACTGTCAACGACGAGACGCTCTTTGACAACCCGCTCAAGTTCCAGTGGGATGTGAGTCGTAATACGGAAGGACAATACTTCTACGATTACAACAAATCCTCCTACCTGCGTGGCTACAATCTGGTTCAAGACTTTTTCGGCAAGACGTATGGAACGCAAATCCCCATCACTGCTGCAGATTACTGCAATCACTATTTTATGGTGCCTATCAACTTGAATCTGGATCGGATGACAGACAATCCAAGATCGAGAGGAAATCTGTCCATCGACTATCAATTTAACGACGTGACAAACGCCCCCGTGAGGAGACCTAGCGAAAATGGTGCCTCGATCAAAGTCAACCTTCTCTGCATGGACAAGTACCTGTACACCATGAGCAAAGACGAAGGCATCAAAGCCGAAGTTGTATAAATTAATTCCGATCTAGTACTAAAAGGGCATCATGGAAGGTGGTGACCTAGAGACCAGACATCGTGTCTACGGTGGTGATTTGAAATCGTCGAGTCGACAACACGGTGGTTTCTTCTGGAAAAAGAGCTTCTGGAAAAACCTTATTGGTGCTGGACCCGAGGAGATGGACAAGCAGATGGCGGAACCCATGACAAAACAAGATGACATGCAACGCGGTGGACTTGGACCCTTGGCTGCCATGGCAGGAATGACGCTTCTTCCCATGCTTTTGGGGAGAGGAGAGTCCGGAGACATCGTGGAAGCACAAATGAAAACGGCTTACAACCCGTCCATGCACCGAGGTGGTCTAGCCATTCCACCAGGATTAGCCGCCAAGGCCATACCACTACTAACCAATCTGGCTGCTCCCTTAGCCATGGGTACCATGGCATCACTAGGTGACAACGTCATGGATAAAATATTCGGTAGAGGAGTAAAGAAGGGAAGATCAACAGGTACCACGAAGCGCGCTAAAAGTCGTCGTCGTCACGCTCCGAAGAACATTCGGCAACGAGCACCTCGAAAAACCAAAAAGCCAGCTCGTCAAATTCTCTTCAAAGGTCGCAACAGACGAGGAATAAAGAAACAAGGAAGGGCCTTGTTCAAGCAATTAGGACATCGTGCCCTGAACGAAGCTTCATCATTCCTGTCTGCACCACCACCACCACAGAGATCACTGACCCGTCCTGAAACCCCATTTGCTCAAAAAATTCGACAGAACATTAACAGTGCAGGACCGTCTTCTCTGAGTTCCGCTCACATCGGCCCATCCTTCAACATCTGATCATGGACTTTATCTCGCTCCTTGGACAGGAAACCGAGAGGAAGAAAAAGGCTAGTCCCGTAAGGAATGACGATGTTCCATCCACGGTCACTGCTCGACACAAGCTGCACGTTCCTGGTCTTCAATTCGAGTCTAAGGATTGGTTCACGGAAATCATTCCTGCTCTGAAATCCTGGGGACAAAACGTATTGTTTCTGGGACAGAGCAACATGGGTAAATCCCACTTTCTCATCAAACTCCTGAAACGCGTGCAACCCGAGCGTATGGTGGTCATCTCCAACACGC